GTTGTTAATTGTTTCTTTTATTATTCTGTAATTTATTATCTACTTTAACATAATGATGATTATTTTCACAATTGTATTAAATTTATTGTTCAACTCATTTAATTATATTGTACTAATTGTACTTTTGTTTCATTTAATAGATCTTTATTACTTTAATATTATCATTTATTTATGTTATCATTATTTCTTATATTCTTGTTTGGTTTTATTGATGTATTCTTTAACTTTTAATGGTAAAATGTTAACTTTTTTCTTAATTTTTGTTTTTTCTTAGTCATGTTGTTCAATACTTATTTAACATTCTTAGCTTATTAACTATTCTCATTTCATCAATACCATTTTATATTCTCATTCATTTCTTTAAATTTTAATGTCGCTTTGTTAATTGATGAAATTCATACTGAAGTAATTTATTTTCATCAACTACTCCGTTAGTTTATCATCAATTTATCATTATCTGTTGATGTTTATCAATAAATAAAGAAATACACATAAATATTATTTAGTATTTTAAAACTTGAATTATGTTCTAAAGTTATTATATTACAAATAAGAAATATTGAAATGAAATTATCAAACAAAAAAGAATATTGTTTGAATTAAAAATACAAATAAAACATGAAAAGTGTAAATAATAGTTTGATATTTAATAGAAGTGAGTATTAAATTAGAAAAATTAAATAATAATTATTGATATAACACTAAAATAGATATGAGTTGAAATAGTATAAATGATAAAATATACACTTTAACAGTTATAATAAAATGTCAATAACAATAAAAGACAAATTGAAAAGTAAATATAAATTAAACTTAATTATTGTTCAAATGAATATAAAATGATAAATAAATTCAAAGAAAGAGAAAAAAATATAAATTAAATAATGTATACTAAAACTATTGAAATACATATGAAATATATAACCATTAATTACTTTATAGTGTATTTTTGTTTTCTATATTACAGCTATTCACAAAGACATTTTCCTTTATTAATAATTATTATTTTATTAACAAATGATTTATAATACTATTTTAAGCATAACATCAAAATAAAAATGGTATCAAATTAATAAGTAACAATGACAAATATGTTTTTGGATTACATAAATAATTAAAACTGAAGTTCAGATTAATCTCAGAAGAATAGAAATAAAAGATATTTTTATGAAGGAAAAAAAAAATAAAGAAAGTTCTTATAATATAGGAAGTATGTTCTCAATTTTTTTTTAAATTGCTTCTTTTGTTGTAGGACTTTGGTTGACTTTATTTAAGACTAATAAAAAAAAATTCATTAATTCTTCTACAAAATGAATTTACAATATCTTTGGAATAATGGTATTAAAGAAAATGACCTATTACCACAACTCTCCACCGTAAGTAACAGTATAAGGAGAAGATGATGGAACAAAGCATGTTTTTGATGTTGGGATTTTAGAAGAGAGACTATGATATCTATTTCTTACAGCATTTGCAGTTCTTCCTTTTAATAATTTAGCAATTTTACTCCATGAGTTAAGATATTTGTAATGTCCTTGAATTATAACATAATCTTCTTCTGGTGTCCATTTACTTGTGTCAATCATTGGAGAGACATGATTTATATAACGTTCTCTGCATTGCTTCCTGGAACGACTCCCAACAAACTCAGCAATTTCAACCCATCGAGAATTTCCAAATTTACTGACAGCATCAAGCAATTTACGGTCTTCTTCTATAGACCAGTTACGTGCTGGTTTTCTAGTAACATTCATTGTAAAACTTGTAGAAATAGGACTTGGAATAGGAGATTCTAATATAACTTGGTCGAAACAAGAATTTGTTCTTTGAGGTGATTGCATAATGAATTTAAAGACTGTGTGTTTAGTTTTATATAGGCCTTTTATTTCTTAATTTAGAATGCCTTGAAGAAGTGGGAGTTAGAGGCAAATGAAAAGATTGCGGTAAATAATAATTTTTTAATGAAAAATAACTATTCTTAATTTTTTGGTTCTTAAGTTTTCTTTTTTAGAATTTCATAAAAGTAGATTTTTCTTTTGATGAATCATTACCCCTTTATTTTTTTTTATAGACCAGAAGATATAGTTGTATTGATAATAGGAATTTTTTCTAAACACAATATCATATTCTTTTCAAATAAAGAAAAGAACAAAGTTAATTTTATTTAACTAACAAAATAGAAAAAAAA